TATGCCTTCCATGTTTTCAAGGTTACCTACACGGGGCCTCTTATAAAATGTATGTTTTTCCACCAAAGAAAATGGAGAGATGTTGAAACAAAAGGCTAAAGAGAGCTGTTTGTAAATGAGGTTTGATTATTTTAGGCAGATGTCCAGTATTGTGTGAGACAGAGTGCTTTATGTTCTCCCCACCCCCTCATATAATTTCACATAATAGCCAATGATTGTTTCTATAGACAGAAGCATAATTAGAATTGAGAGGTGTCTGCTTCTGATCAGCAGTCTACAAAACTGCCGGCAGAAAAGGTTGTTTGCAAATTATCTGTCTGTTCCCTCCTGCAGTGTATTACAAGACTGAGAAATGTAGCTTCCACTGTGCTCTGTCAAGATCTCGACACTAAATACACCTTCTCTGTGACAACAGATTGACCACAGCAGGCCTGCTTCACTCAAGGTAGAAGCTGAGAAGAAAGATATGGAAGTATTTTATCTTTTGAGTGACAACATATATTTTATGTCGTCTGTTGTAGGTAACCCAAACAAAACACAGGTTTTGTTAGAGTGCGAGGTATAGAGTGCAACATTTTCCAAACGAGTTAACTGAGAAATATAAAGAAATCTGAAATTTAAAATCAGCTGTTATGTTTTTCTATATTCCATCCCAGTTTAAAGTCACACTACAGTATGTGTTTACTACTACCAATAACTCCCTTACCCACACTGCAAGAATGAGCAAGAGCAGACAGGCATCTTAGAACTGCCCACCCAACTGGCCATCCTTTTACACACTACAAGCTCTGCGGTGACTTACAGGATATTCTACATTGACATCACCAGACACCTGCAGGTGTCCAGAAAGTTGCAGGGATTTTCACTGAGGAACCCTGCCCACCCAATCAAACTAGACACTTGCATCGTGGAACTCACTGTGTGCTCAGAGAGCGAAGATAGGAAAGGTTAGAAATGAGTGGCCATTTAACCTGTTTGGAAATTTTCTTCCCAGTCCTTTAATTTCTGGGTTTTTTCAGCCTCTATATGTCCTGAACTCTGAAACATAGACCTGGACATCTTGCTAGAGTTATGCAAAGAAGCCTCTTACCATTGGCAGCTGCCATAAGGGCCTGGAGTTGCTCTGCTTCGGTTGGAGGGTTGGGCCATGGTCCTGCTTCTTCTGGCCGCTGTGGAGCCCTTAAGAGACAACACCAGACATGGTTTCAGCAAAAGCAAGATGAAGTACGGAAATAACCCATTAGATACAGCAACATACAGTACAACACTGTGGAGGAGTCTGTAGTACGAGAAGGGATTTCACCTCAAAGGTAGAAAACACTGACACCTATTCTGCACTCATTAACTACAATTTAAAAATGAAATTAAAGTGGGGTACATTGGGGTTTAGATCTAGCATTTGTTATTAAAGTTCTGTTAAAATAGAAAAAGAAAAGCTACATATTCTAGCCTGTGGAATAGAGTTTTACAGAGCATTCATTTTTTGTTCCAGCCAACAATTATTGTCTTTATCAGCCCCTGGTGACCTTCATTGTTAAATGCCAGTTACTGATACTCAAGAATATATCTAGCCTCAGGATTATAGTGCTTTTATGTGTTTAATGTATTATAGTGTTTTAACTGGCACAGTAATACATTGAAACAGGTGGCTGGTATACAAAAACTAACAAAAAAGAAGCAATTATTTTTTCGAAAGATTACAAAGACACCAAACTGAATACACACAAAACGACAATAAATAAGTAGAGGTTGATTCCATGCAGAAAAGAGAAGAAAAGAGAAAAAACGTTTTGGTTGTGGAGCTTTCTTCATGTGTGTTTCTTTTCTTCTCTTTTCAGCATGGAATTAACCTTTATTTGTTCCTTTGCAGCCTACACATGCTGACACAGCTACCTACTTGAACTAAATGACAATAAAGTTTAGTGCTTTTGGGGTATAAGATATATGTAAAATGAATGTCTATTAAATTTATAGGAAGCGAAACAGTTCCATTCCCCAGTTCACAGTGCTTATTTCATGTTTCCATATTGAATAAATGTTGTATTGGCAAAATATTCAGAGATGCTCCATAAGAGGAATACTGAAATAAGGAACAAGGTCTACAAATTACATTTCGAATTTGACAAAACCGTCTTCTATTTTGTAAAATAAAGGTTCCTCTTTCTCCCTCCCTTTCTGTCTTCTCATATATTTTGATGTGTACATACCATGTTATCATAAACAATTAAACAAGTCCATGTGTGTTGGTTTTTTTCAGCTTGATTCCTTTCTGGCCTTCAGCTTGGATAATTAAATAATGTTAATGCACATGCTTTAGATTTGATTAAAGGCTACTTTTAGTTACCTAAAAGAAGCTTCCAGAGTTGCTTTGCATTGTCAGAAGACCCATGTTTCTAAAGCATTGTTGCTATTTTATGTTTCTCCTTACAAGATGAATAGGGCTGCTAACCTTCTTGTGACTATGTTCCTTACTGTTATGAAATATTAAGAAGTTAAAAACGAAGGCCATTCTTCCATTGAATAATTGTTAATGGCAAATCACATATCATTTAAACTGCAAAGCATCTACCTCCCTTCAAAGGGATGTGTTTAACTGCATACATATTTGCATTCAAGTGGAGAACCAGCACTGTTTTCTATTATCATCTGTCTCGTTTTCTTTGAGAAGTACAGCACTTATTGGACTATGGAAAGAAATATGTTCAGTTCATACTGAGGAACTCCCAGGGTGTTATTTGATGCCCGTTTCCGCAAGAAGCAGCTAATTTCCTCAGTTAACCCCTTCTTTTCTAAGGAACTTCTCTGCTGTGTATAAAAAGGGTGAGGGAAGAATCTGATGAGGATCACATGCAGGGTTATGGGGATATTGTAGACAGGTCTGTTTCCTGCCTTATATGAGGCGCAGTAAACTCCTTCCTTTGGTGTTGGGTTTTTGAAGTTAATTAACATGGGGCCTGAATGGCTCGGGACAGTCTAGAACATGGGCTCTCACTCACAGAGAGCTGGAGGAAGAATAAGAAAAACCAGGCGGGAATATGCAGAGCTGCCAAATGCACCTGAATGAAAGCCAAATCCAAAAGGAATGGAAACGCCAAAAGAAAAGACAAACTAAACCCATGAATATATGGTTCTAATCTGTGACAATAACACAAGACAAGATCAAAATGCAACAAACATACTGTGGTCAAAAGCTCTGGATTGCTTTAGCACATGGTTTAGAAAACGGACTGGGGGAAGGGCATGTACTCCTCATCACCCCCAGCTTAAATCCCTGGCTGACTACATATCTCTTTTTTCCTGACCAGATAACGACCTCCTTTTCACAAATATAAAACACTGCAGAAATTGATGAGGTAGCTATTTTTCAACTACAACAAGAGCCCAACGTGTCCACTGTTTGCTTTGACAGCTTTGCAATTTATTAATTAATTGCAATTTAGTAATTTTATGAGTTTCCTTTGTGTGCATTTTCCACAAAATATGTTGTCTTGTATGCTCCAACTATTTTATATTTTCAAATCTTCAGAAACATTTAATAAATCATTTGTTCAAAATAACTATACACGTATCTTTAATGGTCTTTTATAGCCTTTGTATCCATCTTTTTGGAGCATTTAGATTCCGCTCCAACTCTACAAAGTGTGCTGCTCAAATGGTACCACCATGGTTGCCATAAAACCAAATTTATTGCGGTCTGTGGCAGAATGTGCCAAGCAATCATGTTTGATCAATCAAATGAAAATTAGGAATACAAAATTCATCCTTATATTTACCGATGAATAAATAGTTTAATAATTTGTTCAAACAAAAACTTCAGAGTGCTTTTATCATTTTAGAGATTTCCTCTACTTCTAAAAAAAAAACAATTCCCCCATGAGACCCCTGCTGGACATCAGTAGAATAGTCATCCTGGCTCATCCATTAGTTGTGGAGAAATCTATTTTGTCCAAGAGTCTTTACACCCTCATAAAGAAAAGTAAAAAAGACGATCACCAAAGGGACTATAACACCATCTGAGAATTAATTGCTAGATTCTTCAAAATTCTGAAGACAAAATATATTACTTAGGTCCAACCACTACCCAAATTGAATACTTTAGTACTGTACATTTGATAGTACATACAGTAACATCCCATATACTGTATGGTTCCACCAATTGGGTAAAAAGTTCAAGTTTCTTGTTAATATTTTATAATTGTAACATTTTTATGATATTTAATGTTCTAATAAATCAAGAAAAACATTTCAGAAATTCTCATCATGCCATACATCGATATCCAAAAGAAACAATCAAGTGTCATAGCCTACATCTGGGGAAAGAGAATCATTCATACAGCTCAGGAAACCTCCTGCATCTTGTGCACATGAGGTAGAAACTAATCCACGTTTCACTGTTGTGTTTTAAAGACTGTCACTCATTTTCCCATATGGAAACAGCCTGAACAGACTTCCTTTCTAATCTGTGTGTAACCTGTCTGAGCTGATGTAAGAGCTGTAGGGCTGTCTTACCAGTCTTAAGTTATCATCTCCAAGGGCCATTAAGTTTTAATTAAAATTTAAAACATTAGATAGAAAAGAGAATTGAACTCTCGGACACGACAGTCTGTCCCTGCCATAAATCTCTAACAACGCATGAATACATTGTAAGGTTAGGAATCATTTAGCATTTTACAGAAAAATCTGAAAATATAGAACAGTGTAAACGAACAAAAAAGTAAAAGTGAATAATTTAACGAAAAAAATATTTGATCAAGGTATACCTGGTCATGTGTTATTGAATAAGTGATATTTTACTCACTACAAGGCTCATGTTTATCCCCCCAGATAAAACATCCCTGTGTACAACTCATTATTGCAAAGTTAATTCTTCACTTATTAATTTACTTACTGTATATATTTAAGCCACATAGTTCAGTGCTGTATAAGTTTTCAGATTTAATATTCTTATTATGGACATAAAGCCATCTTGGATCAAACACATATATTCACAGGTAGTATTATTTAAAAAAAAATGTTACATTCTTTAAGCATTATGTTATAAATAATAATAATAATAGATGTTTAATACAGTTTTCTGTTACTCCACCGATCCATTTTCATTTCAAACAATACAATTTTGTTGATTTAGAAAATTAGAAGCAAAGTGAAGACGCCCTTCAAAGTGCTTTAATATTTTTGTACATGAAGTTGAATGACATTATCAAATGTATCTCATGTAATTGTTTTCGGCTCCTCTGCGTAGAAAAAGATAGATTTAATGAAGCTTTAAAGACAATTAGTATGTCCACCTGCTGCTTTGTGGGCAGTGAGACTGCCTTTTGCAATAAAGGTTATTTTGGTAAATTGAATGTACAGTATTTCCAAACAGCTGCACCTATATATGTATTCATGGCCATTGTTTGTTACAGACACCAGCTGCAGGAAATGCACAACAAATTGTAAATCCTTATATGACTGAGCAAACAAAGGAACTTACCCACTAGGTCCTGGTCTCTGTCCTTGGGAGAAACGCCAGTCAGTGTTTGGAGGCTTTTGCTGCAAATAAAACAGAAGAATCATTTGAAGTGTGAGTAGACAGAGGGAATGCAGGGACAGTGCACATCCCCAGTCCGTGTACTAATATGTTCCAGGCTTCCTCTGAGTGTAGAGAAGATTCCGGATCTTCAGTCTTCGTTCTAAAATGGAAGGAAAATCTTCCTAGAGAGAAGATGTAGGTCAAATAATACCAAGAGCCTCAGCAGAATAATGCACATTGTTCTTTCCCACTCTAAAGACAAATATAACAGATAAACAGAAGCAGTTACAGTATGTGTGTTATATGGGAAGACAGAACATTTGTATTTTTACCAGCCTTAAATAATAAACCTATATTCAACCATTTTGCCACCATTTCACTACATTATGGCCTTTAAACCATGCTGGTTCATGTAAGAATGTGGACCTTTGTTTTCCTGTCGCATTGAAAAGAAATGACAGTACGTACTGCTTACATGATTCATGTTTCTCGGTTACAATCAAATTATGAAAAAAAACATCAACCAAAAGTACACTGAGTGGTTAAAAAATTAAATTTTCACTGGAATGAATGAACAAATGTAGTGACAATTAAATAATGTTTCCATGTGCATTTACACTTACAAAGCAACACTTTTTTAATGAAGAATAGATCTACTTTAGTTCCTCCACCAGCTAGTTTAAGTTGTTTTGCAGAATAGTCACATCCCACACATGGAACTGAAATTTCCATTTTACAATCGGATTCATCATTAAATCAGAGTATAAAAATTCAAATTGCCTGACAATAACACATTACAGTGGTTCTAAAATGTAATGTTTTTGCCCCTTAGTTCTTAAACAAGGTTATATTGTCACAATTGGCAAGATAACATTTGTAAACGAACATGCAGTTGAAAACATTTAGCAAGATATAAAGTAACAGACTACATCGGCAAACTTTTACATATAGCCTGGTTCAGAACAAAATGAAAACAGTTGTAAGGAATAAAACCATGAAGAAAAATATCTGATCTAAAAATGGTACATCCATAGTGACACAGAATTTTACACAAAATTAAAACAACTACAACAGCTTGTGAGCTTCTGTTTCACAGAAGCCAGTGGACAGCTTGCCAAAGCTCTTTAATTTGAGATTTAAATATGTCTGCCTTAATAATATAAGCCACCTACAGATTTGAAGAGCCATACTAAGCCTTTGCTGTTAGTACATCCAAATGAAGGCCCCAATTAGCATTTATAATTTACCTCCAGCAGTCTCTGTGAAACACTGAAGTTTTTCTTACAAATTAGGACCTGGACAAACATGGAGGAGAATTAACACTATCATGACTTATATACACAAATACACAGAGAGTTCAGTAATGTACACATAAGCACCCATGACACCCTTGACAAGAGAAAGCACCTGCAGCAAAATGCCATGCGTATCAGTGTCTGACAAACCAAGAAACTGGCTCTGGTTATAATATCTACATACTGTACAACATTCCGTTTTCTACTGCTTTTTCCAGTTCAGGGTCACAGGGTAGCTGGAGCCTATCCCAGCAAGCAATGGGTCCAATTTAGGATATATCTTGGAGTGGACACCAGTCCACCCCAGGAGCAGATGCACATACTGTACATATAAAGTACATACACTATACGTGCATTAAGCATTTTTATGTTTGAGAGCCATACAAAAACAGACTGAATTAAAATATTAAATGCAATGATATTAAAGTTCATTTCTCTACCATCAGCACACTACCTTTATGTATACATTTCATGCTAAATATGAAAGACTGATCATACAGTGAATAGGTCTTTATAGCCCTATCCTACTTAACAACAGATTATTGAAAAAGCTTTCTGTGAAAAAAAAAATACAGACTTGCATTACAGCTTCAGGTAACAAACTACCTGATAATATTAATGTTATTCTTCCAACCCTATAAATCATATTTGTCTTAATGTCAGGGATATCTCCACCCATTTTTTAATTTCATCTAACTCAATGCTAAGCGATTTTCCAGACAAAAAAAAGTATGCTCTGTATATCAAAGTGTTAAAATCTGAAACAAAATCTTTGCATAATCCACTGCCTTCCTAGATAAAACAGATCTATTTTGTAGATAAACTAATATTTTAATACTAGTAACGGTGATACTTTTTTTAATACAGTACAGTACACAGCTGTAGGATATAAGCATTCCCACAGTGCTACTACTTCAAAACACAAAAATGTCAAGTGGTCTTTTTGGTGAAATTACAAAAGTATATCCTTTTCATCTACACTTTAACAACATATTTATAGCTAATATGTATATAACAGTGATGACCCTGTTACTGACATGACTGCTAAGAAAATTATATTGTTAATGGAGTATCAGTACAACACATGTACTGTGTGGCCAGACTTTAGCCTCTGGGATATACACTGAAACCCTGAAGATGTGATTATATTTACACTTAAGCACTGTGATGTACTAGCTGTTACTCAAAATATCTCAGTTATCAGCACCAGCAAGGTCTTTTAGTATACAAGTGTCCATAAACAAGTAGCTCAGTGTACACAGCTTTTGACATAAGAAAGGCACTAATCACTGTGGAAGATTGAAATCCACATCTGGATTGCAAGTCTCCCATCTGTGACTGACTGAAGCAGATTTCCATTCTATCCTCTGAATCAGTGCGGTTAACCCCTTATGTGTCATGTCTGTTAAGACCAGAGTCCTGAAACCAGTTACCAGGTTATTTATACTTTTAGCATTTTTAACTATTAAAATTCAGTTCACTATGCAAAACCTCCACAGGCAACAGTTCACTAGAAGAGAAATGAATGCTCCATATTTTTCTCACAAGAACACAGTTCATTTGAACTGTATATTTTATTAATCCGATGGAAGAAGCGGTCACAAGGTCAGAGATCAATGCACAGCCCCGCATGCTGTTTTCAGGTACATTTTTGGGAAGAAATACACAGCAACAAAGATTTTTGGACATTTCAGCAATAGTTACTGAATGCTGACCAGGTTGAAAAATCTGGTTATAGATTTTAAACTATGAAGAAGACAATTGAACCTTACAACTGAGAAGAGGCCATTCAGTCCATCTGGCTCATTTGGTTGGTCGTGGCTAATCGATCCTAGAATTTCTGAAAAGGGTCAGATTATCAACATTAACAACATGGCTGGATATCTTATTCCAGACTCCCATAAAATGACGACTGCCTGTTCACAGTTTTACATGCAGTTTCCCATTGTTTCTACTTGTGTCCTCTGGAATTTCATTGTCCATTCTGGAGACATCCATTGGGCTGACTTTGTTAGAGGATTTTTTGAAAGTGAATCAGATCCTCGTTTCATGCTAAAACCGATGGTAACAATCCTACCAGTTACTAATGAAAATGACTCAGTGTTCAGATCAAGAATGTAGCATGTTTTAGTACTCAAGCCACTGCAATATAGAATTAAAAATCTCACTCACACACTGTTTACATTTTATCTCAATATTAAAAAAACTGGAAGAATCTGAGACATCACAATGTATTCCCCCGATAAAGGTTCAATTGAATGAGATCAAGTTACTGTGATCCAAGCTTCCATACAAAGCACAACAACCTGAGAACTATCTCAAAAGACAGTCAAGTTTCACAACAGCAGCAGACTGCAGATCCATCTGCCACAAACAACAGATACGTAGCAACAGAAAGATCTGTTTGTGAGGTTTTAAATGTTAGCAAATTGAAATAGGCCAAATGTGTGAAAAGAAGTCAGTGGTTCACATTAAAACCCAATCCTATTTTGTAATGCACTTATTTTAATCGGCATGGGATATCTTTCATTATAAGTGCTTATGATGCACTTCTCTGCACTGTTTTTAAAACCCAGATGAAAATATATCTATATATATATTCCAAATTCATTATCAGGTGTGTTCTACAGAGAAGGAACTACGAATGCTGCATGTATAGCTAGCTCAAGGTGACAAATGCAATGCATTACTGAGCTTCAGAAGAAAACAGGAAGTCAAAGGTCAACTGCTGAACCTTCAAATCCTGTTATTAGGACACCCTCTTGCCTTTATATATGGAACATATGGCTGACTTCCCTGTGAAGCACAATACACTCTTTTATGCACGCAAAAGATGATTCACAGGTAAAATCAATAGATTTACCTAAAATATAAAGTATACTTTTTTTCAAACCACTTAGATAACAGTGAAAAGAGATGTGAAGTTTAATAGTTGCTACATTGTAGGACTGAATGAATGATTCAATTAAGACTGAGGTAACAAACGTGAGTAGATTTTTATTTACTTTAAACTCAATAAACCCACGTATTGCTCTACATGGACTATAAAAAAAAAACATATTTTGAACAAAACTATGCTTGCAATGTACTACTGGTTATCTCCAAATTACACAAACATGAAGCTAATAAGTAATCTTAAAGGGAACACTCAATATTTCTATCAACGGCATACAAAAAACAGCTTTTGTATATCTGTACACACACACATATATATATAATACAAAGCATTTTGTAGCCACTTTTGAACTTCAATGAGCAAAGTGTTGTCGGACACGTAAAACCATCAGGAATGCACATCACAGTTGCACAGGGACAGATAGGGTTCTCACCTCATTAGCTGTATTAATTAAGTGTTTTCTAGATAAAGACATGTTCAAGGTGTTGGTTTTGCTCATCATGGGCGTGGCAGGGCTTTTGATGAACACAAAGTCACTTCTGTTTGACAGAGTGGAGTAGCAGGGCCTATACCCTTGCATATGAGTCTCGGGAGGGCCCCCTACTACCTCCAGGTATTTGATAGGCCCATCAGAGTTTAACTGCAAGTGGAGGTTTTTGTGGGACCTCTGGTAGGTGTGTCTGGACCGCAGCGAGTGCCTGCTATAGCAGCAGCAGCTCTCCAGACAACTGCTGTAATCATCTTTCTGTTTAAGGCACTTAACCATGAGAATCACAAATGTCAGAAAGGAAATGGCAGAAATGCAGGCAAGAGAAATAATTAAATAAAG